TGAGAAACATGAGGGTCCCAGGCATAGAGCAAGGGTTACAGAAGATCATATCAGGGAGCACGGAGGATAGAGAAATAGCCAGTGTTGAATAGGTTGTGTTGAGGGATCAGGAGGTCATGAGGTCACAGAAGAGGGATAAATTCAGGGTTTAGGACAGAGCAGCGTAGACGGTCTTAAGGAATCGGTCAAGAAGTTGCATATGAGACCCAAGGCCAAGATGGGTTGAAGAGCATGAGGAATGATGTGGAAAGAAGGTGAGAAGTTAGTCAAAGCTCAGGGTGAATTAGGGCCAGAGCTGGTATTAGGAGGCACAAAATATAGGGGTCAGGGTGTCAATGAGGTGTTGGGGTACAAGCAGGAATCAATGGGGTCAGCAGTCATGTGGAAACAAATGCTAAGCACCAGGGCAAAGTCTAAAAAGCTGGGGTGAGAGTGAGGTCAAAACTGGGTCAGGGTAGGATTTCAGTAAAGGGTACTTGGACATAGAAGACATGGTCAGGGGTCATGAATCAGGAGTGATCCCCAGGGGTCATGGAGTTAGTGGTCAAGGGTGGAGTATGAAGTTAGGTTCAGAGGTCATTCCATGTGGACTCAAGGGTTCACAAGGGCCCCTGTGAGGGAATGGGGTACAAGCAGAGTCCTCACTTCATGCCTAGTGCATCTTGGCCCACAGGCTCCCGCCGGCCTTTGTGGCCAGTGGCCACGTCCTTGTGCAGCGCGAAGCCCTCAGGGAACCAGAGGGTGCTGTGCTCCCGCTTGCGCCGGGCCACCATGACGCCGAGGATGAGGATGACCAGCAGAAAGACGGCGCTCGCAGCCAGCAGTGGCAGCAGTGGCACACTAGGCTCTGGCAGCTCCAGGGGCTCCCCTGCAGGCAGGAAGCAGGGACTTCAACCCCAGCCCTTGCCCAACCCACCTCAGGAGCTCCATCCTTAGTTCCTGACAGGCCAGGGCCTCACCCCGAGCAGCCCGCAGTGGGTAGGGGAAGTCCAGGCGCTCCACTGCTGACAAAGCTCCCAGATAGTCGGCGGCACTCTGGGCATCAGGGAAGCAATGGTCATTCTCTGACGACTGCAGACACAGTCGATTGTCAATCTCCAACATCACCACGGAGCTAAGAGGACATTGGGGAGAGACAGGCAGGTTTGAAAGACACCTGCTGCAAGCAGGCAGCAAGTTCCTCCTTCCTGTGCCAGTTCAGAAGAGCCAGCTCTATTCACCCACTCACATGGCCAGAGCTCCCCAACCTGGTACCCAAGCCCACCACACCCCCAAAACCAGTCTTTTTGTAGCCACTGGTATCCGCTAAGTCATGGATCAGTGGGAAGTTTTCAGGCCCACCACAGTGGATGTCATTAGTGTGAGTGCAGATCACCTGAATAAGACTGGTGTTTCCATCTCCAAGCCCAGCCCACCGCAGAAGCCCCAGTTTCACCCTCACCGGACAGCCCACAGTGGGTACTAGTACCTATCTCTAAGCATTGGCTTCTCCCAGTTTACAGCTGCCCCTTCTCCAGAGAACTAGCCATAGCAAAGTGGAGGCCACTTCATTTGCAAGGGGACAGCCCTCAGAGCACAGTAACTGGCAGATACAGGTATACCAAAGCCAGCCCTCCTGCCCCGGGGTGGGGTCAACTCTGCATGCTTTGCACATTTGTAGAGTTCTCCGTGGAATCAGGCTGAAGGTGGGCCCTGTCTGAGGCTACCTACTTCAGTAATTCCCCTGCTCCATCCTCAGCCCCTCTCCTGACTGCAGTCAGTGCATCCCATATAGCTGACTCCCCACCCAGGCTCTGCTTCCAGGAACCCAGCCCCCCTAATTCCCTCTTCCTTGGGACACCCAGCGCCCCATGTCCCAGATTGCACGCGCGGGCTCACTCTCTCTCTCTGGCTTCCTTCATCTCCTCTTTTGAGCCAATTTCCCTCAACCAATCCTCAAATCTCAGTGTCCAGAGATCACTCTTCTATCCCTTCTCTCCCCACTTGAATTGCTCCACGATTTCAATGATAGTCAATATCCTTTTGTCTTTCACATGTCTGTCCTCAGCCACCAATCATCTCCCGTGGGGCTGCACCATATCCCCACACTCCTCAAACTCTGCAAGTCCCCAAGTGACCCAGGTTTTTCACCCTGTGAACTCATCCGATCATTCGGTCACCCCAGCCAGAGAATGGTACATCAGCCACCCTCTTCCATGCCCCCCATGCCAGCCACACCCAACCAGAGCCCATCTCTAAAATCCAGCCCTCCTCTGTCAGGGCCCCACCCCCTGCGAAACCACACCTCCCTTCTGACTCCTCACTATCAGTATAGTTTGTATTTTCTATGTCTAAAAAAGAAAAACAAAAAACCAATACACATGTCCTCAGCCACTCTGCTATACCCCTGCCTCTCCAGAAGTACAGAAGTAAAGAGCACTAAAGCTTGTGGGGGGAGAGCGTGGATTGGCAATTCTGCTCCCCAAAGGAGCTTGCCCACCTCTGGGGGCATTGTTGGTTGTTACATCTTGGAGGGGAGGTGGAAGGGTGCTTCTTGCATCTAATGGAGGAGTCCAGGGATGCTACTCAGCGCCCAGCAGTGCACAGGACACCCCCCCCAACCACCGCCCGACCCAGCAAAGCATGAACTGACTCCATATGTCAATGGTGCCAAGGTTGAGACCTGCTGTACTCACTGGAAAAGGTTCTCCAAGAAGTTAAAATAAAGAAAACACACAAGACCAATGGTCCCCCATCCCCACTGAGAGCCTGTGTGGTGGCGCCACTCACCCAATCACCTCGGCGGCCAGCTCTCGCCGGTTGCGGGATTCTGAGCCCGGCCAGGGCCGGTGGTAAGGGAAGACCATGGCCTGGCCATTCTCATCCAGGCGGAAGCGCAGTGAGGTGCGCAGGATGCCGCTGAGCCGCTGCAGAAAGTCGGCGCTAGAGCGCAGCAGCTCCTCAGGGGGCAGCAGCACCGTGAGCACCAGCACCCCACGTGCCAGGAGGGCTGGCACTTCGCCTGCACAGTCCAGCCCGTCCCAGCCACACTCCTCCGTGTTGCAGCCTTGATCGCAGCGGCCATCAGCAAAGTGGTCGGCGCAGTACTTTTCGTACACTGGGCTGTGGGCGCATAGGGATGGGGTCAGGGGCCTCTGAATTCCCTGCTCACGTGGGCATGAGCCCCCTACACACAAACTGCAGCGCACCAGGACTCCACAGACAGAAGAGCAGCAGACAGGACCAGCACAGGGACTAGCATGGATCTGCAGGTACAGGGCTTTCTGCAAACCAGCCATTTATTCAGTAACCAAGACTGTCTGCTATTTGAGGGTGCTGCTATAGGAAGGGAGGGTGTGATCCAGGCACAAATCCTTGCCTGGATTTGGAGCTGACATTCCAGTGGACAGAGACAGACATTAGGTGGGATGAAGCAGATTATATATTTCATTCACCAGTCAATAAAATTTACATGTAAACGCATATACACACAGTGCTATATAGCATTAAATAGTAAGGGATAAAATAAAACAAATTCTGGGGGTAGCCAGTGAGAAACTCACTGGGAAGATTACTGAGCAAAGCTTGGAAGTGAGGGAGGCTTCCTGAAGGAAGAACATTCCAGAGAACAGTCATTGCAAAGGCCCTGAGGGAGAACTAAGTCTGAGTATCAGAAAAATTGCAGGCAGTGACTGGGGGTGGGGGTAGGGATGCCAACAAGGAGATAAAGATGAGGGAAGGGTTCCAGGCAGACAGAGGAACACAGAGAGACAGAAGGGGCCAGAGCATACAGGAGGGACAGATGGAATGCAGAGGACAGAGATAAGGCTCCTGAACCAACACAGAGAAGGGTAGGGAAAGACAGGCAGCGTCATGGACAGAAGGAGTGGCAAAAAGGGTTCATGGATGGACAGGGCAGATGGAAGCAGCACATGGATGAACAAAGAGAGACTGGCATTCGGACAGACAGATGAACATCTGAAGTCCATGGACAGACAGCAAGGGGGCATACAGAAATCTGGAAGTACAGAGGGAAGACAGACAGATAAGCAGGGCATAGGGCTAGACAGATGGAATGACTAGGCAGGCAGAAAAACAAACATGTAGGGTCATGGGTGGACAGCTAGATGGGACACACTGAAGGACAGGGCACACATGTGGATGAACAGACAAACAGAAGTGGCACAAGGATGGGCATATGAGCTGCACAGAGGGAAAGACACAGCACTGGGATGGACAAACAGGTTACACCACGAAACAGATGTGGCAGATGAATGGACAGCCAAACGAAATGACCTAAGGATGACCAAATGTCAGGCCATGGCAAATGGATGGATAGAAACAGAGGCAGAGCCCATGGATGGTCAGATATGGCACACAGACAGACTGACAAACAATAAATGGACAGATGGATAAAGAGGCAGGGCCCATGGATGGTCCTAAGGCAAACAGATGGGATGTATAGATGGACAGACTAACAGAGAAGCAGTCATATGTGAAATATGGCCGGTCAGACTGGGTGAATATATAGATAGACGGCCAGACAGACAGCAGACTCACTTGCAGGCGCGCTCACGGCCCCCTGTGCGGCAGTCGAAGTTGTCATAGAGGCAGCTGGGGGAGCTGCAGGCAGGGTCGCAGCGGCTGTTGTTGAAGAGGCGCCAGCACTGCAGCGCCGCGCACTGCCGCCAGGGGTCGCCCACGCTCAGCGAGCAGTCGCCGCCATCCCAGCCGCAGCCCCGGGTGTTGCACTCGCGGTCGCAGCGCTTGTCCCCGCTCTTGGCCTGGCAGGAGGCGCTGGGGCACAACGGCTCCTCCGGGGCCTCGGGCACCGCGGCGGGCACCTCGCAGCGCGGCCCGGCCCAACCTGGCGCACAGGCGCACCGGAAGAAGGGCGCGAGCGGCATCGCGCGGCAGGAGCCCCCGTGGAGACACGAGGAAGCCGGGCAGCTGGCGTTAGCGCCCCCCGGGAGCGCCCCCCGGAAGCCCCGGCAGGCTGGCCCCGACAGCCCCGGCGGACAGGCGCAGCGCGGCCCCCGGGCTGTCTGCTGGCACGGGACGCCCGCTGGGCACTGCAGCTCCCGGCAGGAACGCGCCACCTGTTCGCACCGCGGGCCCCAGAAAGGCTGGGGGTCGGTAGAAGGAGAGAAAAAAAAAAAAAACCGCATGAGTAGGGTAGGGGAAGCGGGTGAGCCAGGGAGAAGGGGTGAGGGGGAGGGAGGTGGAGAGGGTGGAGAAGAGGATTACAGGTTAGGTGGAAGGGAGAGAAGAGGGTGGGAAGGTCTGGACTTGGGAGACGTTGAGCCTACAACCTCCCCAGGTCAGGACACAACCTCTCCCCCTTCCATGGCAGCCAACCTGGCTCAGAGAAAGCCCTGCCTTCCTTAGGAGACCATGCCTTCAAACCCCAGACACAAACACACACACACTCTCTCTCTCTCTCTCCAGGTAATTTCAGCATTTCCCAGAAGCCCCCGTTCCTTCACCGAAAGCCACATCCTCTTTTCCACCTCACTCCCCTCTTCTCCTGGGGACCCAGACTCTGGATATGACCCATAGGGGCCACTTACCGGGATGCAGTGGCAAGCAAAGGTGAGCCCACCCCCAGAGCCTGGGCTGGGATGGCACTGGCCTCCATGCTGGCATGGCTGGGACTGGCAGGGAGACAGGACAGTTTGACAGCGGGGACCTGGGTGAAAAGGGGTGGGGGTTGTGGATCAGCCACAGTCAGGGAACACAGACAGCATCCCAGGCCAAACCCCTCTACCAATTACCTGTGAAGCCAGCATGGCAAAGGCAGTGAAAGCCCCCACCTGGGTCCTGCAGGCAGTCGCGAGTGTGTGCTGCATGACAGACACCTGGGCGACACTCGTTGATGTCTGCCTCACAGCGCAGACCAGTGTATCCTGGAGGGCAGCTGCAGCGGAAGCCACCTACCAGATCCATGCAGGTACCATTGTGTAGGCACCGGGGACTGGCATCCAGGGGTGGCCCTGGGCCACAATCATCCTCATTAATTTCGCAGAGCACACCTGGGAGAAGGGAGCATGGGGGGACAATCAGAAGGGGATAAAGATCCAGCCTCCTCTCCTGTCCCCCACCCCTGGCCCTGAAGTACCCTGTGTCCCGGGGGGGCAGGAACAAAGATATCGAGCCACAAGGTCAATGCAGAAGCCCCCATGTTGGCAGGGCTGGGAGGCACACTCGTCCACATCATCTTCACAGTTATCGCCAGTGTAGCCAGCCGGACACTGCAGTTGGAGTCGGGTGGGGGAAGGTGTTATGGAGACAGGGGCCCACTCAATGCAGGGGGACAGACACTCCCCATGCAGACACAGCATGCAAGCATAGAAGGATACTGTCACCCAACACAAGGAGATATGCCCAGTGTGCAGAAAATGCACACAATATAAGGAAACACACTCACAAAGAAGGACACAAAGACACGGAAGGCCATAGACATCCAGTGTCGAGACACATACAAACACACAGGTCAGAGACACAGGAGAAACACCCAAATCCATCCCAAACACAACTCTCTGGCTCATGCCTTTACACGAGAGATGCCTTACACAGAGAAACACATAAATACCTACAGCAAACAACCAAAGAGAGAGGACCCCCAGACAGTAACACCCCCAGACCTACCCAGAGTGATACCCACAAAATACACCCAGAATCACAAAAGCAAACCCCCAGGCAAGCCTAGGGAGAGACACACCACACCAGCCCAGACATACCCAGGCATGACTAGCTGCTTTCTGCCCTTCCTCAGACGCCCCTTACCTCACACATATAGCCTCCCATGTAGCCTCGGCAGGTACCCCCATGCTGGCAGGGCTGGGCCAAGCAGGGATCCACTTCCTGCTCACAGTGGCTACCTGTCCGACCCTCTGGGCACACACAATAGTGGGAGCTGTCCTTGTTCACACACTGCCCTCCAGCCTGACACAGCTGCTCCAGCTGCACTCCTGCAATAAGGGGCAGTGGTGTCAAGCACACATCCCCCTCTTCCCCCCTGCACCACACACCAAACATTCCTGGCATCAGTCACAGTGTCTCACCCTCCCCTTCTCTCTCACTCTAACACACATACATGCACGCCTTGAGTCTCAACAGATGCACTACACAACCTATCACAAACCCTCATTCAGCTCACACCAGCAGAACATACACACACAACTGACCACTGAGTCCCCCTCACCTATCTGGGCTGCTGCCTCCCTGCAGGGCAGACTCTGGATGTCACAGAGGCGGCCACTCCACCCAGCGGGGCAAAGGCAGTAGAAAGAGGCTCCAGTCCGGGTACAGCGACCCCCATTCTGGCAGGGCGAACAGCTACACCAGTCTATCAGCGTCTGGAGGGTAAGCTCATAGCTTTAGGATTTGGGGAACCCCTAGAAACCACACCCCAGCTTCCTTCTCAGGATCCTAGGCAGGCACCAACCACAGAACTTCCAGATCCCTCTCCCAGGGTCCGGTCAGGCCCCTTACCATAACTCCACTTCAAACCCCTGCCTGGGATACAGGCCAGCCCCTCCTGCAGTTGCCCAGCAGACCCCTGTCCAGGATCCCAGGCAGGTCCCCCAACCCAGGACATTCCTCCAGACTCCTCCTCTCAAGACCTGTGACCCCGCCCACCTGGCAATAGGTGCCTGTGAAACCCTCAGGGCAGGCACAGAGGAAGCCAGGGTGGGTGGCAGTGCAGATGCCCCCGTGTACACAGGGCTGCGAGAGGCAGGGGTCGGCCTCATGTTGGCAGTGTGCACCCACATAGCCCGGGCGGCACAGGCAGCTGAAGGAGTTCACGCCGTCCACACAGGTCCCACCATTGAAGCAGGAACTGAAAAGGAAGCAAGGGGGTGAGCCAGGCTTCCCCCTCACAGGCCCTGCCCACTTCTAGACACACACCCGCCACCAATGAGTGGGTATGCTCAACACCCTGCCCCCAGCTCAGAATCAGAAGCTGCAGCCCCAGTAGAGGCCCTGCCCTGTCCTGCCCCACACTTTCAACTTACTAGTACTTCAGCGCTAAAATGGGAGCCACATGGAGAACCCCTTCCCCAGGTCCTGGCCTGGGGAGGGGATGGGGGAACAGAATCGTTAAGATTATCTCCAGATGCCCTGCTTCCCACACACAGCCCCACCAGGCATCAGAGTCCAGAGGTAGGTGTCAAGTCAAGGACCCCACCATCCACTTCTTCTCAAGTATGATGCCCCATCTGATGGCAGAGCCCCCAAATCCCAAGAAGAGGTCCCACCCACCTGGAGCTGCAGTCAGGTAGGTCCTGCTCACAGTAAAAGCCTCCATAACCCAGTGGGCAGGTGCAAGTGAAGGAAGCCACATGGTCCATGCAGGTGCCCGGACCACAGGGGCTGCTCAGACACTCATCCACATCTTGAGCGCAGTGGGGGCCAGCAAAGCCAGGGAGGCAGGAGCACGAAAAAGAGTCCACACCGTCCTGACAGGAGCCACCATTCAAGCAGGGGTCTGCAGCGGGAAGTGGGGGGAGGCCTGTCACTGTCCTAGTCGCCCATCAGCACAGCCTGACCACCCACATCTTGCATAGAAGGGACTCAGGAGGCAACCAGGCTCAACTGAGAGGGACACATTTGATCTGAGGAATCAAATCTGTCCACTTTTGTGTGGCTCTCCCCCTCCAATATCAGGAAACCTCACCTACATGGAAGGGGGAGAAGGGAGAGAACCAAAAGTTCCCTTTGAGCTTCCAAACACCTGCTGCTGGTTGTGTCTGCTCTAATCCTGGGCTGGCACGAGAGGCCTCCCCAGACCTTCACTGGCCAGGACAGTGGCCACTGACATGTGGATCTAAAGTCCTTGAAATGTGGTTCGTCTAAATTGAGGAGTGGTGTAAGTCTAAAATACACACTAGACTTTTTAGACTTGTTTGTTTTTTAAACAATGTAAAATATCTCAATTATTTTCATATTGATTACATGTCAAAATGATAATATTTTTATATATTAGTTTAAAAGTATATCACATAGGTATATTTTACTTTCATAATGTATTACTAGAAAAATTTTCATTGTGTATGTGGCTTATGTTATTTGTCTAGAGGACAGCAGTCTTGGAAAACTCACTGGTGCCTATTACCTCAAACTTTACACACAGTCCTGATTTGCTCTCTATCAGGGCAGCAAGTCTGAAGCCTACAGGTTTCAGAGTCAGCCAGGTCTGTGTTCTAATCCTTGCTCATCCCCTGATATGCTGCATGACTCAAGTAAGTGCATTCTTTGGATCTCAATTTCCATGAGTAAAATGGAAGAAGTAAGAGAACAGTGAAGATGAAATGAAAGCCCAGTGCTAGGTATACATGATGGACTTGATTAACACGTTCCCTAGGGCAGCATCTCCCAAGAGCCCCCCTGAACTCACTGGGGTCACAGTCATTAATGTCTTGATCACAGGAAGGGCCACTGTAGCCCCCATGGCAGGTACAGCTGAAACTCCCCGCCAGGTTGGTGCAGGTTCCATGTGGGCCACAGGGGGAGGGGCCAGCACACTCATCCACATCCTGCTGACAACGTGTGCCTGGGATGTAAGGTGACATCTGGGGTTAGACAGTATAGGTGTGAGGTATCTGGTGCTCAACCAGGGGCTGAGATGAGTGAAGGTAAGAATTAGCTATGTTGTCAAAAGCCTCTGGGCATCTGCCTCTGGAACATGCTGTTCCGGAACTACCTTTTGTTTCAGTAGGTGGCGGTGAATGCACCCTCTCAGTGAGGTCCTCCAGGAAGCTATCAGCAGACTGAGTCTTCTCTTCCCCACCCCCTTGTCCCTTCCTAGTCTCCACAACTGACCCCATGGGCTTTGTGTGTCTGTATCCACCTCTGTTTCTTCCCAAAGAAAGCCCCTCTAAATGGCAGTGCCAAAAGCGAGTCCCCCTCTGGTTCTCTAGAGTCACCCAGCATGGGTACAAAGGAGGCAAAGGAGGGGAGGAAGAAAAAGCAGCTGATGTACCTCGCCAGCCCGGGGGGCAGGAGCAGACAGCCAGCTGGCCAGGGGCAGATTCACAGTGGCCCCCATGCTCACAGGGGTTCAGAATGCAGGGGGACAGCAGCTCACACTGATGGCCTGTGAGGGGCAGGTAGAGTGAGATTGTCTTAAGAGATTTCAAGTTCCCATCTCCCCCCAGGCCCCCACCTTAATACCCACCTCCTAAGCTCCTGGGGGCTAAGAGGAAAAGGAAAAAAGGCAAATGTAAAGGGCAGAGAGGAAGTGAAATAGAGGGAAATGAGAAGAAGGGGGCAAAAGGGGGGTATTGGCAGAGGAAAGTGGGGACACACACCCTGGACACCAGGGGGACAGGTGCAGTGGAATCCCATTCCATCACTGGTGCAGGTGCCACCAGCCCGGCAGGGCTGGGATTCACAGGCATCTCTGGCAAGTTTTTGGGTGCACTGGGAGCCACTCCAGCCAGGCTCACACACACAACGGAACCTGTTGGGGGAGGCAATAAGGGCCAGCACATGGGCAGGACAGTAGTCGGAGGGTCAGGGCTTGGGGAGAGGCCTCACCCTCCAGGCGCATCATGGCAGACACCGTGACTGCAGGGCTCCTGGGCACAGGGATGACTTGGGGGGAGACAGAGGGGGGGCAGGGAGCCGGGTGGGCAGAGGCAGTGGAAACCGTTGTCCCCATCCATGCAGGAGCCTCCCTCGCCGCATGGGCTGGATGCACATTCATTGATCTCCACATTGCACAGGGCCCCTGGGGAAGAGGAAGGCAAACTTTATCCCAGGACAAGGACAGCCGAGCCAACTTTGCCCTTTTAGCATGGCCACACCCTTGAGGAAGGACAATCTTATTCTCATAACCTGTCAGCTCTCACAAGTTAGGACAGCCACCTACTCAACTCAGATCATCCTCATCCCAACTTACATGAAGTCACTTTCATTTCCAAGGGTTACCTTGGGCCTACTCAGAAACATCCCCATGCCTGATTCTGGACACCCTCATCTATGTTCCAGGATAATCTTGTGTCGGGATAGGTTAGGACAACCTCGTGTCAATGAGAGAACAAAGTATGGACAATCTTGTTGACAACCATGTACAAAGAGAGGGGTAAAACATGGACAAGAAAGACACATGATTTCACCCCCACCCTATAAAGAGACCCCTTTCCCATGGCAGCCACTTGCCCACCTGTGAAGCCAGGCTGGCAGACACAGTCATAGCGGTTGATGCCATCCCTGCAGACTCCAAAGGTGCATGGATTGCTGAGACAATCATCGATATTCACCTCACAGTTCACACCTGGGGAAGGGAACATGACAGGGGTAGCCACTACTGCGCCCGACCAGGGGTACCGTTCCCAAGTGGGATACCTCTTCAGATGCACAGCTCCCACCCAAGCCCAGCCCCAGGCCTCACCTGTGGTGCCAGGAGGGCAGCGGCAGAGATATTTGTCCACCAGGTCTAGGCATTTGCCCCCATGGCGGCAGGGCTGGCTGCGACACTCATCCACCTGGCTCTCGCAACGTGTGCCAGTGTAGCCTGGGGCACAGGCACACGAGAAGCTGGCAATGCCATCCACACAGCGCCCATGGTGACACGGGTCTGGTGAGCAGTCATCCACATTGCGCTCACAGAGCACGCCCTCGAAGCCTGCAGGGATCCAGTGCGTCAGAGTCCTCCCGCTCGCCCAGGTCCTGCTCACAGGTCTGGCCTAGCCCATTCCTGGCTCAGGTCTACCTCAGGCCCGCCTATGGAGCTCAGAGGGGCCAGGTTCAATTCGTGCCCCTTCCCAAACCCGCCTCCACTCCACCCACCAGACAGCTCCAGGAATTGCCCCTGGCCAAGACCCTTCCAAACAAACCCCACCCCCAGGGTGGCCCTGCCTCCAGGCCTCATACTATCCAGTTCTGCCTCATTCTCACCTGAAAATGGGGATACAGGACGTACCTGGTTGTAATAGGTTGTAATAGGTTGTAATAGGGGGCAACACTATGCCCAAGTTTTCACCAAAGCTGTCTTTTGTCCTTTCTCCCACCGGCCCCGCCCCCAGTTTTCCCGACCAATCATGGCCCACCCTCACCCTCGGCGCAGTGGCACTCGTAGCCATCTGGCTGGTCCACGCACTTGGCGCCGTTCCTGCAGGGCGTGCTCGCACACTCATCCACGTCCAGCTGACACATGACCCCGCTGAAACCTGGGGTGGGGAGCAGGATGAACAGGGGCCCAGAAGCGGTAAGAGCCGTAACTCCTTGCCTGCCCTGCCTCGTTTTGGGGTAGGAAGCCCATTTACTTATTTTTAAATTCATCTCAATGTATTTCATAATATATATCAATAGTTTCTATTACAGGGCCTCCCTAGTGGCCTAACAGTTAAATCTCGGAGCTATCAAGCTATCACAAGACACTGCTGCATGAGTTCAATCCCCGGCCAGGGAGGTAACCCCATGGCGTAGCAGACCTCTCCTGTCTCACCTGCTGCTCCCCTCAGCAGTGTCTTTCAGTCAGTCTGCCTAGTCTGTTCCCCGCTCTGTCTCTCCCCACTCTGTCTCTGGTGAATACACACACACACACACACACACACACACACACACACACCCCGCACCTCTGGCCTACACCCCAGTTCTTCTATGCAATAAATAAACAAATAAATATATTTTTTAAATAGTTTCTATTACAATAGTTGTCTGCTCACATGGTCTTATAGAGTTTCCTGTCCTAGAGTCTTTGCCCCTGCAGGAACCCATCTTTTTCAGAATCCCTGACCCAGGGTCTTTACCTGAGGGGCAGGTGCAGCTGAAGCCATTGACTCTGTCCTTGCAGACCCCACCATTGACACATGGGCTGCTCTGACACTCATCCATGTCCACCTCACAATAGGTGCCAGTAAAGCCTAGAGGGAATGTTGGGGGTGGGGGAGGCAAATACTCTCCTTATAGACAATTCCTCTAAGCCTTTGGCTTTGCTCCGAGCCCAAGTTTAGATTCCATTTTTTGCCTCAGGCTGAACTATGGCCTAACATTTCACTTGCATCTAACTCTGCCCAATAGAAAGTAAAATTAATCCAGGAATGTGTTCCTGTTTTATGACAAATTGATGTCAATCATCAAAATGGGACTCCATACTGTTCATCCAGCAGGATGTACCTCTACTTAGTCCAGCACATTGCATGGATTCAATGTGGGGTAAATTTTCAACCTAGCTGTGGCCCCAATTTGTTCAAGGCATACCTTCAGACAACCCCCTTCCATCTCCATGTCCCCACACCATGTCCCCAGCTCCCTGATCTCACCCTCATACCATCCCCAACCCCCAAAGGGTCCTAAATCCCAGGCCTATTCCCATTTGATCATGGCCCCTGCCTAGCACAAGATTTCCTTGTGGTCCCACCTCTACCTCATCCAGGCTTAGGTCTCTTAGAATACCACTCCAAATTCAGCCCCACCCCACTCCCACTCTCCAGCCCACAGGTTTCTCTAGCCCCACCCCTAGCCTCGGGCCCCTCCGGAGCCACGCCCACTATATACCTGCCATGCAGATACAGGTGAACTGGCCTATGCGGTCCAAACATGTGGCTTGGTTTCGGCAGGGCCCAGATAGGCACTCATTGACATCTGTCTCGCATCTCGGACCAGTGTAGCCACGGCCACACTGGCACAGGAATGAGCCCTGTGTGTTCACGCACTGGCCCAGGTGTTCACAGGGGTTGGCACCTATGAAAGTAGGCACAGTGGGGTAGATGTAGAGAGCTGAGGACCTGCCTTTCCTCTCCTTCCCAACGCTAAGATAACATCCCCAGCCTCCCTGGTGGCTCAAGGGGATAAGCACAGCATTATGAAGCTATCTGAAGCCTCCACAACATGAGTTCGAACCCTGGCTGTCCAGGGAGCTACCCACAT